GCGGTTCAGGTTAATTAATAGCGTAATTCTGTATAGGTTTAGTAGTTAAATTCCGACAACTCTGTTCACTTGTTTATCATATGATTTCGATGATGGTTCATGGTTGAAATTTTTAGGGGATAATAACAAAAACCATCCTTGTTTTCGTAGAAACGTAGAAATTGCTATGTGTTTCTAAAATGATTTTATCTTGAGTTTTAAAAGTTATACTCCTGTTGAGAAGTTGAGTCAAAATTACCTGCGAAAAAGACTTTTTTTACCATGCATAAAAGAAAGTGTAGTGCATAATTTTAAGGATTGTATGGGAAAAAATCAAATTTTCCAGGACAAATCAAAGTTGGTTTTTCTTAAATGCCGAAAAAAACCTATGATCGATGCTATTGTCTTTTGGCTTTCTATCAGAGAACATTTTTTTCATTTTATGAAGGGCCATCATGTCTTTTGCATGAATAATTATGACCAAAGCTTACATCAGATTCGGTGGTGGAATGTATCCTATTAAAGTACAAAAGATAATTTGAGCTTTTCAAGTATAAGGTAGATTCTTGTATTTCGATTAAATACAAGAGAAGTTTTTGTTAGCGTCCCTATTTTTTGGGATCTTTAAAAGAATTTGTTGGATCTATTTTTAAGTCATGGTCAATGTAAAACTGGCGGTGGTTCTTACATTGAAGAGGCTAATGGGGTTTTTGGTGTTTTAATTAGTTAGGTCGGAACTTTGTAGAGCATACTCCGTCCGTACGTTCTAGTTCAGCTGGAAGACCGTCCGTCTCTGTTCGCACAACAACAGTGGTACCTCAGAGCAGATCATCTTTAAGAACTCCAGTGTCAATACCTCCAATCGAGCCTCCTAGTAATAGGAAGAAAGATAATAGAAGGCAAGCATAAATGCTATTCTTTATTATTGTTTTTTCCTGTGAAATAAAATTTTGAACCTTGTCCATTAAAAAAAAAAAAATCGTGAACCTTGTTTTGCTTTACTTGCTTTTAGTGAGTGCTTATAATTGGTGGGCTAGTATCTTAGTTGAGTGTGTTCAAGGGTTTTACAAACCTTATTTTGCTTCACTTGCGATTCGTGAGTGCTTTCTTGGATTTAATGTGTCTAATTGTCTATCAATGCAGATTTACACCAGATATTGGACAACTTAACTTAAGAGCTCCGGGAGAAGAGCGTGAAGCTTCAGCGCTTAGAGATGAAGTATGTCTGCTTTAAGTTTTGTGATTTGGAGTGATGTAAGATATAATTGTTCAACCATTAATTGCGAAACTAACACAACATGAGCTGTAATTGCAGCTTGATATGTTACAAGAGGATAATGACATTATACTTGATAAGGTGTGTTCTTCCACTCTTCCTTACCCAGTAGATTAGTGTTTTTTTAAAGTACGATATCAAAAATTTATAGTTGAGCATGTTGTGCAGCTTCGTCGTGCAGAAGAAAGACGTGAGCAAGCAGAAGCAAGAGCTAGGGAGCTCGAAAAACAGGTCAGTTGTTCTAATTAACCATTAACTTTAGCTTTCAAATTTGGTTAATCTCTTTGGTTCCTGTCCTCATTTTTGTGGATATAAAGTAGATACCTGAAACGCAGATATTTGAATAGGGCTCATGGTTTGGGCACCTGTTCGGTCTTTCATGTGCAGACTATCTCTTATTTCCTTTATTCATTGAGCGCAAACATGATTTCTTCATTTCTTGTGCTTGTAATTAGATCTTTAAAGTTAACATCATATTCCATTTCCTTAGAAAGGGCGATAGCTAAACAAAATGTCCTAGGCTTTAACAAAATTACACATGATACTTTGAATTTAAATCAGAACATTATATTCCCTCTAAAAGTTGAAATTATGCATATACGCCCTTTTGTGAGATATTAGTTATGCTATGCTGGTGCAATACAGGAATTGAAGAATCAATACAATTAGAAATAGCTTAGTGTGGCATGGTCTGAGGCTGCATTAGCATGAGTGGGTTTGGAAATAAGAGCATGCACGAGCCAGAACATGACATGGCCTAACTTTTTTCTTTTTAAATTAAATTATGACTATCATGTGTTTACTTTAGATTCAATTCCATAGAACATGAAGTGAATTTTCTGGAAAAAAGTTAACCTAAAGCAAGAAGAAAAATTGGATGAGTCTACAGCCCAGCACAATTAGATACAGATTAAGGTGCAGCTACATTTTCTTCATTGGTGTGAGAGTTCTAGGCTTGCCTCAATCATATTGCGATGACCAATGCAGATTTATAGAACATAAGGCATAGCAAAGCAATAAAAAAAAAGGTTGTGGCCTGGCTTAATATATTCTGCTTCCACAGGTTGCTTCTCTTGGAGAAGGTGTATCACTTGAGGCCAAATTATTGAGCAGGTAAACACGAGCTGTGTTGCTTTTGTTCTGTTGCTGTTAAGTATTTTTTTCTAATTGTTTTTTGATTTCCTGCAGGAAGGAAGCAGCTTTGCGTCAAAGAGAGGTAAATTTGGGCGAAAAATTAGAGTGGAGATTAGAGATAATTGGATATATTAAAGTATAGGTTGTTCTCAAAATGCTGAATGTTCCTTTTCAGGCTGCCCTGAATGCTGCCAAACAAACAAAGGATGGGAGAGAAGAAGAAACCGCGGCCCTTCGTTCAGAAATTGAGGTAAAATCTTCAAGGCTTTGCAAGTTTCCACTTTATGGTAGTATGTATATGTAAATAGTTCATAGTTGATGCTTTTTGTTCCATATAGCAGATTAAAAAGTTGTAATATTTTCTCTGTTTTTTTTTTTGTCATTTTTCTTTTTGGGCAATCAGAATTTGAAGGAGGGAGCTACAACAGCATTGGAACAGCTTCGAGAAGCTGAATCTGAAGGAAAGGCCCTTCGCACGATGACGCAAAGAATGATTTTGACTCAAGAAGAAATGGTTTGTCTTTTAATATTGAAGTGAGTGTTGTGGCTAGATATTCTTGCTCTTATGTGCATACTTCTGTTTTTGTCTTCCAGGAGGAAGTTGTTCTTAAGAGATGTTGGCTTGCTCGCTACTGGGGCTTAGCTGTACAACATGGTAATTTAATTTCTTATTCCTTTACTGCTTTAAATTTAGTTATGAATAAAACCAATGTTTTATAAATTGATGAAGCTCTCGGTCACTATTTTATTATATTTATTTTATTTTTTTCACATAAACAAAGGAAAATAGTTTTTCATTTTTTTACCATTATCCTTCCACTCCTGCTTACTTGTTCACTCTATGGTTCTCTTGTTTCTGGTAATCATGTTAGTCCTACTCTTTTTTCCCAATCACTTTTTTGAATTTCACTTTGAAGCTTAGTGTCTTCAGATATTTGGTTAGGTAGGCACATCTGCTAATGCGCTCACAGCATGCCTTTTGTTTTCCCCCCATTATGGTCTATTATAGATGTCCATCTATGGTTGCATTTTCCTATTCTTTTCTTATACTGTTACTCTGTTGTCTTGCTCTCAGGCATATGTGCAGATATAGCAGGGTCAAAGCACGAACACTGGTCCTCTGTAGCTCCTCTTCCATTTGAAGTCGTCATTTCTGCTGGACAAAAGGCTAAGGAGGAGTCGTGGAATGCAGGCTAGTTAGTTAACATGGTTTTTTTTTTTTTAGTTTCTGTTACCGACTGTTACTCCCTCTTTTTTTCACAGCTAATGTGCAATTAATCTTTTATATCACAAGCAGGCGCTGATGATTCAGATAGGAGCAAGCCCGTTCGGGATTTAAGCGATCTTACAGGGGAAGGAAACATTGAAAGTATGCTTTCAGTTGAAATGGGTCTAAGGGAACTAGCTTCTTTGAAGGTTTATCCCTAATTTTCTTTTTCGCTTCAAGTTTAATTTTTATGTAATCTTTTTCTTTTTTCACAAGTGTCCTATGCTGGATCTACTTAGTATAACTTGGAATATTGAGGTGTGCTTTACATGTTTCCTCCTTACGTATCTTATCTATGGATTCTAAGTATGCTTCATGTCTTCTGCTGCTTTATTTTGTAAGCTAGAAGTTCGTAACTTCCTATTTTATATACATTTTTTCCTGGTTAAAGGCCTTCGATATTTTCTTTTTCTTTGTCTGTGATGTTTGATTATTCATACTCTTTTATCTAATTGATACCTTTTAAGGTTGAGGATGCTGTTGTGCTTGCTTTGTCCCAACACCGACGGCCAAATTCCGTCCGACTGTCAACAATAGGTTTGTTGCGCTGTTAGCTCATGCTAATTTATGTGTAGATTGATATCCTAACAAAACACAATTTTCCCTGGTTCACTAAGCCTGTCATACATATGTAATCTACGCATCTTCACCTTTACATGTGTATACACATGCGTACATAGAGATATTTCTCTACTATTTCCGTTAGAATCATGGTACTTGAATGTTTCCAACGATTTCAATATTTTCAACATTGTACTGCTATGCACGCGCACACATACACATACACATACACATACACATGCCATATGCACGCACTTTTGGTCACACACTCACAAAGATCATGTGTGTGCGAGTATTCCCTATATATTTATGCAGAGATGTTATGAAAATGTGTAGATAGGTAAACGTGACCTAAAATGCTATCTAGCAAGCACCTTATTTTTGTCAAATGCTTAAATTGAGTGGAGTTAAGATAATTTTGCATTATTAATCAGGAGCAGTGCGCGATACATACTAACAGGGATCATTTGAAGCCTTTGTTTTATTTTCTTAATTTTGGAATTAAACATTATTTTTGGCTTTTGCTACTCATATTGAACGTTATTTTGTTGTTGCTTTATTCATATGATTCAGGAACTTCTACTGATACTCTTTTTAGAAATTTAGGATTTTGTAGTTGATTCAAGTTCAGTTACCATTTTAATTTCCTTTCCACGTTTAGGTGGGCCTCGTTTTGATCTATCTTCTTATTTTATCTTTTCTTTTTATTATATTTTTGGGATAATTAGGGATTGTGTCATTGTGAGTTTATGAAGGTTACTCTTCTTTCTAACAAGTTCTGAATGTCAAAATGGTTTTTCGATCTGAATAGAATAATTCACTTCAGTACAATGTAGTTGCTTTGGCATCTATAAAATGATAGAGAAAAAAAGGAGACTTCATTTTGCCTAATTGTTTTACTTTTTATTCTTATTTCAGATTCCAAGTCACCTGGTGAACCAAAGTTTTTGGAGGCATTTGGTAAGAAATGTTGTGATAGTTAACCAAACATACTTGAGATCTTTGTGGAAAAGCATGAAAATAAAGAACTTTCAGTTCAATCATAATCATATAACAGGAGTATTTATGTGGTATTTTGTTAACAGTGCTAGTGAAGACTAAGGGCCCCGTTTGGTTCATAGGTTCAAGTCAGTGATTTTGAGTCTGAATTCAAATTTTGTGCGACAACCCATTGGCGGGAACTTTTTTGATTTACATTTTTCGTGAGAAAGCAGAATTAGAATCATGGGTTCAAGTCAGTGAATCAAATGGGCCCTAACATGATCGTTATTTATTATTGATTTGTTTTACTCTTCTTTTGCTTTGTTTGCATATATTACTTCTTTTCTTTTGGTGGTTGGGGTAGAATTGTATTGGAGGGGTGGGTGGTCGATGGACAATGTGCCATTGACTAAGGAGACTGTCCACAAAAAATATATGAATTTTCATAATTCTTTTAATATATATATATATATAATTCTTTATATATATATATACATATAAGCATTGAAGGTTGAAATTATATTATTGTATTGTGGGTTATATCGTTGCATTGGAGATTACGTGTTATTTTTTATGGAGATTATGTGTTACTATATTTTCAATATTGTCCATAGAAATGAATTTGTCCCCTATATTAAGTCAATGAAATAAAGTATCAAACGCAAGTGAATAGTCCTTGGTAGGAGGTTTAAAAATATGAATGGCACCTCCGATTTTCTGCCTTTGTGCCTTTTCTCTTCCCCTATTTGTTTCTTGTTCATTGTAGCCTGAATCATCCATAATTTGTTTGGCAAATTATTTTGAAAGCCACCTTACTGTGAATAATATTCTCCTCTATTTCCTGCAGAACTCAGTGAAGAAGAGGCAGAAGACGTCCTTTTCAAAGAGGTAAGAATTTTCTCCCTCCTTTTGCATTGGGGTCACTGGTATTAAGAGCTTTTACTTATCTAATATGCCCTTTTCATTGTGAGATTTGATATATAAACTAGCTTTGGTCCAAGTGAAACCATTGATTGAAAGCGAGCATGGGTTGGAATAATCTATATAGTTTGGTACTTGCCATAATAGTTTGGCATTAGATCGAATAAAATAGATTTTATATTGGTGCGACATATAATAAGTACCATTTGCGTTGTGCAGGCTTGGCTTACTTACTTTTGGAGAAGAGCCAAAGAACACGGTGTGGAAGAGGACATTGCAGAAGAAAGACTACAGTTTTGGATTAGTCGTATTGGGCAGTCACCAACTTCACATGATGCTGTGGATGGTAAGCTTCAACGGCATGTTGTGATCTTTTTCATCTTCCTTGTGTCAATGATTTTAAATGTCTAATTACCCAATGGCTTCTTTTGGAATAGCTTCTATGGAAACATTTAAAAATTATTTTGTGGTCTTAAATAATATTTTGTTTATAACTTCATGTTTATATTAATGAATATTAAAAAGAAATCCCCATTTATATCTCAAATAAGCTAAATTTATTATCAAATTTTGTCGGTGTGTACTGGGTTCAAGTCACGGGACAAAACTAAAAAGAAAAAAGAAAAAAAGAAGAGTAACTCAAAGGTTAGGGCTTTCACTTCTATTATGGAGAAAGTATTTTAGCTATTCACATTGGTTTCGTTATTAATGGCTATGCGAAAATATTTACATGTTAAGATCCTTTGAGCTACTTGGGGTAAGAAATAAGGAACTTTTAGTAGCAAAATCAAGCCTTTTTAATTATCAGTGCGTAACAAAACTTAGCTTTTCTGGCTGTCGTTTTTCTTTGAAACTTAATCATGCATTCAAAGTTTGTCACTGTTATTGGTCACAGGTGAATTCCACACCTATCTGTAATGTCGAAGTCTTGAGTTTGAATTCTCACTCCAAATTAAAAGAAAATGAAAAGAAAAAAAGAACTTTGCCACTGTTGTCTAGATTCAACTGCCTAGGTTCCTGGAGTAATTTTGCCATGCCTGTACCTGATGGTTCACTCTTCTTGACGCCGAAAAAAAATGGAACCAATTAGAACAACCTTAGAGATTATAGTATATAAACCAGAAGCACTTTTTAGGTACTTTTCTGCGAATTAAGACGGGAAGATATATTTCGTTCAAAGTCACATAGAGAAGCCATTTTGTACATGTGTATTGCTAAAATATGTTATGGAATTTGATTGCCATATTGTAGCATGATGAGAAATAATGCTTAGGATTGGTGTTATGTTGTTTATATGGCAGTGGAGCGTGGTCTGTTGGAGCTGAGGAAGCTGGGAATAGAACAGCAGCTTTGGGAAGCATCTCGTAAGGAAATCGACACGTCTGTTGCTAATCACAAATCACCTCACACAGATTCTGAGATTTCTTCCTGATCCTGGTTATTACTCCCTTAATAATGTTGCTTGTGACCATTCTTTTTATTTTTCTATTTTTTCCCCTCGAGTCATCTTTTTTTACCCCTTATACACATCAAAATTTTCATTTCTGCTCGAGTTGTTCTTTTTCCTCATTTGACATGCCTTTTGGCATCATATCGTTGTCATATTTGTTGTTATATAATATAGTGGTCTATCATGCTAAAATAATTAGAATCAATTGTATTTATTATAATCAGCTGTTTGGATTGTAATAACGCTTGTTGATCCATTTTTTTAAAAATTTAATTCAGTTTTCTGTTTATAAGATGTATGATTATGAGTTCCGCATAACATGAAGCAGCATATAGTTTTGTTGGGCTCAAATTTTTTTTTTTTTTTTTTTTTTTGACGGAAAAGAGGTTGAATAACCTAAATTCGGGAAACCGATGAGTCACGGATTAATTGTTTAAAGGTTCTATTATTGCAAATGGTTCTGCACACAAATCAGAACGTTGAAATATTAATAACGACTAAAACATTAGTTCCTACCTATTAGAAGTTTTCTTAATTCTTATTAAACAATGTTCACACAATTTTTCTGGCTTTTTAACAAGTTCAGTCAATCCCACTACTTCCAGTTTGATGTTCTATTTCGTTGCTTGATGGGGATTCTTTTCATCCTTTCCCCAACGTTGCTACTTTATTATCGGACATCCACGGGTATTTACCCTTGGAAGGTGGTTCTTATTAATTCACACGTATGCTAGTAATACTTCATCTTGGGTGCAACACTTCATTGTGACGAGCACCGTGACACTAGTATTGTTCGCCCACAATCCTTTTTTAACCGTTTAGGCTGCTTCCATTTCACTCACCCCCTACCAGAAGAATTACTTTTGCTTTATTTTCCTCTTGCTACTAAAATGTCTTAGAAAATAACGAATTATTTTTGGAAGCGGCTTCTGTTGATGAATGGTTATATAATGGTGGTCTTTATGAGTTAATTGTTCTATACTTGGCCTAGCTTGTTATATTGGTTGTGAGTAGGAACTTAGTTTTTGTCTGGGTATGAGCCCTTGGATTATTGTTGCATATTCAGCTCCTGTTGCAGCTTCTACAGCTGTTTTCTTGATCTATCCAATCGGAAGCTTTTCTGACAGTAAGCCTCTAGGGTACTTTCAACTTCACGATTGTATTCCAAGTCGTGCACAACATCCTTATACACCCATTTCACATGTTAAGTGTAATTGGTGGCGGCTTCCTATTCAGTGCTACGCACGGCTCCTTGGTAACCTCTAGTTTGATCAGGAAAATCATAGTAAATGAATATGCTAATGAAGGTTATAGATTTGGTCAAGAGGAAGAAACTGAGCTTATGCCATCAAACAAGAATATTTGCACGGGAAGAGGATAGTTTTTTAAGATCAAAATACTCCGTTTAAGCACAAAGCTTACAACCCTTCCGTTCGCTACTGCTTCTACAATTTCTTACTTCCTCACTTATAGATTTTACTAATTAGAAAAAGAAAGTCTCTTGTAATTGCATAAAGTGATGACCGAAATCGCTGATGACGTGGTTCATCACATAATTCGTTTAAGCACAAATCTTACGACTCTTATGTCCGCTACTGCTTCCACAATTTCTTACTTCCTCACTTATAGATTCTACAACTTATTAGAAAAAGAAAGTCTCTTGTAATTGCATAAAGTGATGACTGAAATCGCTGATGACTTGGTTCATCACATATCTTTATGCTTTCGGAATCAACGAACATAGTGTATCCTAAGTCAGAAGTAAGATCAGAAGGAGCCACATATTCATGGATAAAGATTTAAATCTTTACCTAACCAAAACTCTTGATAAAGAGAGTGTTAAGTTAAAGAGTGTTTCTCAGTGTTCGGACGGCCCAACAATGACAAGTTCAACTTCACACCATGGGTTGAACAAATCTCTGCGTTTCATCGCGGATGGGGGCATTAAGGATTTGTCACCGCTCGTTCATCATTAGCACTCGGAGCTCTTTTACGGTAACTGCTACAGATGGGACAACAAGTGTACAATGTAAAAGTGTGCATTTACATTCCGATGAATCACTGAGCCTACTTCCCATTCTGCCGGTTCCTTGGCAGGGCGTGCAACTTTGCTTAAGTGTATCCTGTAGTAATAAGGATAGTCATTTCCTCGGGAGGCCAACTCCGCAGTCTTGAACGTTGTTTTCGCATGATTACTACCCTTGTGCATCCGTTTCAGTTCCCGACTCGACAATGAGTTTACGAAGGCTTCGTGCGAGATAGGCTAATCACCAGACTGCTCTGGAATAGGTTAATTGTCGGAGACAAGAACAAGTGAATCTTGTTTCGCGAGCATGCTTTACTATAATAGGGGGCACATAATTTCTAAGTGAAGGCAAGCGCATCTATCTATTTCATATCCTCCCTGTCAGCAAAGCATAAAGCCTACCAGCCAAAAAGTCATCAAGAAGGGAAAGCCGACCAAAATATTCCATAATCAACTCTTGTGGCCGAATCGAGGGGGCTTGGCTTGAACCAGGCTCTAAAAGAGTTTTCTTCAAGCGAGCAGTCTTTCTATCTTTTTGGGTTGCATACCTAAAGCAATGTTTTTTGTAAATTGAGATGGATTGGTCTTCGCTATCGTGCCTCTTCCTTGTACCAGTTGATGTTGCGGCAGTGCCTAATATGAGTTTGCTCTTGCCCCAAATAGCTTTGAGGTTCCCATCGATCGATTACAGAGGTTTCAATCACTGAACTTGCTTATGTTCCCCTTTGATCGAGTGCTATTTCTATCAAAAAGATTGAGTAGGAAAAACTTGAATTGGCTTCAATCAAGATTGCCTCGGCTTCTTCTTCCCACTAAATGTACTAAACGTATCTCGTAAACAAATCCCCGTGCTTGAGTAGAAGTGCTTCCTATCTTCGCCCTTTAGCATTCAATCTCCATTTTTATTTTCCCGTCTTTTTTGCTTGAAAAGGATTTCTCCCCATAAACAGACATAAGAATCGAAAAAGTTTCATTTTCCCGTATTTTTCATTGAAAGTCAATTTCCTTTAATAAGTGACATTGAAATGTGTTAGTGTTTCATTTTCCCCGTATTTTTCATTAAAAGTCAATTTCCTTTTAACCTAAGACTTCAAAGCGTTATGGTTGTGCTTCTTTAGAGGGAAGTAAGTGTGCCAAGCTAAAAACAATTCAACACCCGTCCACTTTTTTATCTACTTTTTTTTTTTAAAAGGAAGATTTTAGCTACCTTCGAAAAACAAGGTAAAAAAGAAAATCATAAAAGGCGTAATAGGTAGGGAAGAAAGCACCATAAGCTACAAGCTCCCTATCAACCTCCTCGATTCGAGGTTTTTTTTCCTTTGAGTACGCCTCTTGCACCTTTTCCTCGAATGAGAAAGAAGATGGTACACTCGAATTGTATTTAAGTGCTTATTGCTTGCTAAAGATCCTACTTCTAAATTTGGGAGGTCACCCTATTATTAACATAAGTCGTGTTTTCTGTGGTTTTTCCATGTTACAATTTTTATACCAATTCGGTCAATTCGGAATAGATCGGTTAAACATTCTATTAGGGAGCCTGGTCATGCCTCTTCTGTGTGGTATTCATTCTCATTCGGCTCTTGGAATCACATCCAGCAGTGGTGGTAGCAGCTCGCAAAATCCAACCACTTTACCTACATCATTGCCCCTAACCCTTTCTTGTACCTCTATTGAAACAGAATGGTTTCATGTCTGTTTGATGCTTTGGGTGTCACCTTTCCAATATTTCAATTCTCCATGTGCAAAATGGCCAGGAGAGGTAAGATTGTGAAGTAAGGTCGGAGGCACATGAATCAAGTTTGCATGAATCTGACACTTGTGGCATTTTTTAACGTATTGATACATTATGGCTTTGGGTTTGACCCCGGTCTAAAGTAGGAATCCATAAAAACTTGGTATTCGACACCATGATAAAATACTACCCTTATAATTAGACCATGTTCCTGAGATTTGATAAAAAAAAAAAAAGGTGCATTAGCGGTTAATACGTTGTAATTTGATAAGTTATTAGGAATATGACAGGACGAAAGGCCAAGGAAAGAAAGAAGAATGCAGCAAAATGCAGGTGCTGCACCAAACACACGTGGTTGTTTCTTGTTGCAAGTGAATGCAACAAAAAGACCCAGAAATAAGGAATAATGAAATGCCCGCTGATTTCTCAATCATCTACTTACGTAATTTCCAAATCGACTTTGTTAGCAGACAATCTTATTACATAATCAGACAATCTTGGGGACTACTATTGACACAAAATAGTGTAATTTAGGATAGATCAAAAGAACCAAATATTAACTTACTGATATTAGAAAATACATACTATCTTAGGACAAACTAACTTTTTAGTTCCAGTGAAAGCCCCTACTCCCAACAAGTTTGAAAGTGAAGTTCAAGACAAGTTTGAAAGTGAAGTTCAAGTGCTTCAGTCAAAGAGAAGTTTCTTATTTCTGTAATCGCAGTTACAGTTGCAATAAGTACTTGCAAGCTCAACAAGGCTTTAAACGGCTAAAGCAGATAAAAAAAAATCTTAACGGGAAGCTCTTAAGATGAACAATGAAGCTTTGTATTCTGATCGAACAAAAAAAGAGTCTACGAACTAGGGGAAGAATTTCATGTCGAGGTTACTGATGATTCCGTAGAACTTGTGACAAAGGAAGCAATGGGGGAATTGCCTGAAGGCCTCCGTTGATTGTGTACGAACAAAATACGAGTCCAAAGGCAGGGTAAGAAAGGGTTTAGCTAATGGAGATATTAACTTGTCTGGGAACCAGTAACGCGTAAACCATGTCAAACCAAGACTGACCAATATCCGAATGGAACAGATTCGAACTTTTCCTAGAATAGCTTTCTATGCGAAATGAAATTCATAGGATATATATGAGTAATTCAAAGGAGAAATATATATATTTGATAGGATTTGATGGAAGAAAAATAGGTTTAGCGAAGAAATAAAATCAGAGTGCTATTTACATGTACATTTACATATATATTTACATTACATGTAAATATATGTAGATATAAATTAAAGATTAATATAGATCAATCCCCTATCTTCATACAATAGATATTGTGGTGGAAAGGTTAATTCCGTAATTGTAGCCTCGGTGGACTTTCTTATAATTTGAATATGCTTTTTTGTGGGTTAATTTATTAGGAATATGGTTGCATAGTTAGTTTTGGCATTTTCGATTAATTCTTGTTCATGTTTTGCGTCTAGAACTCCAGT